CCCCAGTTTGGGCACCGGCATCTTGCTGGGGGCTGCTCCCCTCCCTCCTTGCCCTGTCTTTGCCCTGGTTAGCCCATCGTTCAGGGTAGCTGCTAGCAGAAGCCCCATCCTGTATCCTTTATTCCTTGTCAGCTTCTCCCTGGACATCCTTGTGTCCATATCCCTGCATGGAGTTGGAATTAGTTTCAAACTGCTTTTGGCAGCTGGTTTGAATTCGCCTTCACTCCCTCCAGTAAATCTCCCTCAACTGGTCCTAGCTAACCCTCCACATACACTGCAACTGGGACCCTGTGGGATGGAAAGCATGGAAAAGTTGTCATGTCTGCTTGCAAAACACCCTTGGGATTTACCAAGCAAGCTGTCCACAAGCAAACTTAGGATCCTGGATCCTAAAACATGCCTGGGAGACTCCTGGCACTCCTCTTCCCGCAGCAGCACATGCCTCAGGGCTGCTTTGGCTGTTACAGGTGTCTGCCTATGGAAAAAAGGCTTAACATTTCTTCAGTACAGGTACATCCCTGCCAGGCTGATCCTCTGCATTCTTCTTCCTCCAGGTGTGCACGACATGTCCAATGATCATGTCCAATCGCTGCAGCTTCAATGCGCACCAGCGGATGCACAAGAACCGACCACCCCACGTGTGTCCTGAGTGTGGTGGCAACTTCCTCCTGGCCAACTTTGAGGCACACCTGAAGGAGTCCTGCCTGCACTTCTCCCGCAGGGTGGGCTACAGGTATGGCACCGGGACCCAGGGAATCCTGGGATCCAAGGTGGGAGTCCCAAATCTGCATCAGGAATCCATGTTCCTTCTCACACACTCACATCCCTTCTCCCTCCCATGCATTCCTTCTCTCACATTGCTGAGGGTGAACATCTGCCTCTACTCCTTCTCTGCTGCCACTCTGTTAATCCTGATGGAATTTACCTCCTTCTGAGGCCTCCTGGACACTGTCCCACCTCAGTCACAACTAGCAGTGTCAGATTCCTGCAGTATGTCCCTGCTCCTGATGAGCTGCCTGGGCCTTGCATCCACCAGCATTGGGCAGGAGTGGTTGTTTCAAACTGGAGTTGGAGCCCGGCAGTGGTTTGGCTCCTGTTGTTTGTTGGGACGGGGACTCATCCCAAATCTCATGGTTGGACAGGGAGCAGGCATGGGCCCTTGTGCTCCAGGTTCTCTGCACTTGGTGTCACCAATCTCTGTGACACATCTAAGCTTTCCAGTCCTGTTTGTCCCTTGTGCCTCCTGCTCTCCTCTGCTCTCCAGGTGTCCCAGCTGTGCTGTGGTCTTTGGTGGGGTTAACTCCATCAAATCCCACATCCAGACGTCCCACTGTGAGGTGTTCCACAAGTGTCCCATCTGCCCCATGGCCTTCAAGTCGGCTCCCAGCGCACATGCGCATGTCTACACACAGCACCCAGGCTTCAGTAACCAGCAGTCCAAGTAAGTGTCCCCAGGAGGTGACATCCTGATGGGTTGCTCCTAACAAGTACTAGGACCAGAGGAAATGGCCTCAAGTTGCACCGGGGGGGGTCAGGTTGGATATTAGGGAGAATTTCTCCATGGAAAGAGTAGTCAGGCATGACACAGACTGCCCAGGGCAGTGGTGGAGTCACCATCCCTGGAAGTGTTTGAAGACATCTGGATGTGGTGCTTATGTGCATGGTTAGTGGTGGCCTTGGCAGTGCCGGGGGAACAATTGGACTTCATGTTCTTAGAGGGCTTTCCCATCCCAAGTGATTCCATGACTGTAAGAGCTGGGAGCATCCTCAGTGGGTGGGATGTTGAGGAATAACTCAGCTTCCATCTCCATTTTCCTTCCCCATCCCTTGGCATGGGTCAGACTTGCCCAGAGCTGCTTCAACCCTCTTCCCAAAGGATTTGTCCAAGATTCCCTTGATTCAAACCTAAGCTGAGCCAACAGTGGTGGTTTTCACTTCCCACAGGATGATTTACAAGTGTGCAATGTGTGACACAGTCTTCACCCACAAGCCCCTGCTCTCCTCCCACTTCGACCAGCACCTGCTCAACCAGCGTGTCAGCGTCTTCAAGTGTCCTGACTGCCCGCTGCTCTTTGCCCAGAAACGCACCATGCTGGAGCACCTCAAGGTAAGGCTCTGGCACAGCTCAGTCAGGGAAGCATTCATCTCATCTCTGAAAGTGTTCGAGGCCAGGTTGGATGGGCTTGGAATAACCTGGTCTAGTGAAAGGTGTCCCTGCTCATGGCAGGGGCAGTGGAATGAGATGGTCTTTAATGTCCTTTCCAACCCAATCCAGCCCATTCCATGATAAGCCCATGGGTGGTCAGGATTTCCTTCTAGCTTCCTTCAGGAGAAATCCTGATCCTGAACAATTGCTAACACCTTATCTTTGCTTCCCAGAACACTCACCAGCCCCAGAAGACCAAGGATGACCTGGCAAAGAAGGCAGCTGTCCTGCTGACACCGAAGCAGGAGCCCATGGAAATCCCTGTGTCCAAGATTTCCGAGGAATCGTCATCTTCCACGGAGGAGGACGACCCCCCCAGCTCCCCAGAGCTGCGCAAGACCAAGCGCAGCCGCTTCCAGCGCAAGACGGTCAACAAGTCCAAGGGCAATGGGTGGACCTGTGGTGTTTGCCACTCCTGGTTCCCAGAGCGTGATGAGTATGTGTCCCACATGAAGAAGGACCATGGAAAGGTAAGGAGAACCCAGGAGCTCTGCTCGGCTCTTGAAGTGTGGGCAGAGAATGTTACAGAGCACCAGGGCAGGACACACAAGTTCCTTCTCCCCCAGGGCAAACTCATTTGGGGTTGAGGTTTTAGGAGCAGGGATGTTACCTATCCTGGTTGACAGCAGGGAGCAGGTACTCGTTATCCCAGTGCACAGCTGTGAGATGGGCAAGGAGCAGGAATCCGAGGGAGTACCAGGTTCCCACATCCAGCTTCTCCACTGAAGTGGGATCTGACTCTCCAGCCTGTCGGCTCCCAGGTGCCGGACACACCCGTCTCTCTGTTTCTTGCAGTCAGTGAAGAAGTTCCCATGTCACCTGTGCGAGCGTTCCTTCTGCTCTGCTCCCAGCCTCCGGAGGCATGTCCGAGTGAATCATGAAGGAATCAAGCGTGTCTATCCCTGCAGGTACCCACAGCACCTTCCCCAGGGTTTGGGGGGGAGTGGAAAAGAGGGGGATGTTGGTTTTGGGGTGGGGAGATAAAGCCCATGAACATGATGGGGATTGAAGTGTCTGGAAAGCAGGAGGGAAAGAAGGTACAGGGGACTCCAGGGTTTTATACCCTGTGGAGGGATGTGGATGAACACATTTGGGGTCAGGATGTCAGAGCCAGAATTCCCAGGGAGACCAGGACTTGGAGGCTGCTCAGTCATCCTAGAGCTTCGTCACCTCCCACTCTGACCCTGCAGGTACTGCACGGAGGGCAAACGGACCTTCAGCAGCCGCCTCATCCTGGAGAAACACATCCAGGTGCGACATGGGATCAAGGTGACCGACCAGATGAAGAGCCAGGAGGTTGTTATTGCCCGGATTGGGACCGGCACCACACAGGTACAGGGGCTCCGGTGGCTCTCGGGGGCTTATGGAGGTTTGTGGCACGATTGGAGGCATCACCACACACCTTGGCTTGGTTTGCACCTGCCTCCACATCCTGAAGAAAAGGTGGAATATCCCATCCTGCATGGAGCTTGCATAGGAGCTACACCAGACTGTGAGGGGCCTGGTGCCAGGGGTATGGGCATGTCAAAGGCTGTTCTGGGAACCTCTTGGCCAGGGTTCCACAGCTCTTGGAGCCAACCACGACCTTTATCCAAGCAAATACCTGTAGGGGAAATCTCAGAGCAGGTTGGGTCATGCCAGAAGCTGCTTTTGAATCAGGTCCCTGTTAAATCCTTTCTGAACCATTCTGCAGGTGTCTGGCCGGAAGAGGAAACTTTCCTCAGACGAGGGTGACTCCTGCAGTGAGGAGCCTGACAGCACCACACCCCCCTCCAAGACCCCCAGGGGTGACCGCAAGGCCCCGTTACGCTGCCGCAAGTGCGGTTACCTGGCCAGCAGCTCTGCTGACTTCCAGGAGCATATCCCACAGCACCGAACTGACGAGAGCTCCCACCAGTGCCGTGAGTGTGGGCTCTGCTTCACTTCCCAGGTGTCCCTCAACCGCCACCGCTTCATCACCCACAAGAAGAAGAAGGGCACGGGGGACACAGAGGAGGCTGTGCCCTGCAGCCCACGGGATGGGGGCAGCCAGCATGTGGCCGGCGGCAAACTGTCATGTCATGCAAGGTGTGTGGCAGATGTTTCGACAGCCAACTGAACCTCAAGACACACTTTCGCACCCATGGGATGGCCTTCATCCGTGCCAGGCAGAATGCCAGTCCTGAAAATTAGGGCCTGGCCCAGCAGGGACAGACACGTATGTCACAGCACTGAGCTCTGTGCCGAAGTGGCTGGAGCCCACCTGGCTCCCCCTCCCTCCCTCCTCCTGGGCACAGGGTTGGATAAAGTAGCTGGGGAGAGGAGAACCGGGACGGGACGATCCGGCCTGACGCCACGTGCCTGAATCCCCCGCGGTTAGGTGGTCTCAGCCCTGCCCTGTTTGGGGAGAGGTCGGATTGCAGCTGCCTTATCCAGCGGGAGGTGAAGAGCCACGTCCGGACTTGCTGCCCTGCTCTGGGGGCAACCAAGGGATTGTTTCCTGTCACTGCTGTCCTCGTGTGAGACATGACCCCACCACCGCCACAGCCTGCAGGGCTCTTCCCGGTATGCACCACGCTGCAAGGGAAACTCTGGAGCTGGGCAGGACCTGTGGATCAGGGGACACTTCTCCAGTGCAGTCTGCGTCAGTCACGATGTCACAACAAAGTCCACTTTTTGTTTCTTGTTTTCTTTCCATTTGGAATGTTGCTTACGTTGTGTTTTGCTGGGAGCTGCAGGAAGAAGCCAATTCCGGGCTCCTGGAATAGGACTGGGCTCCGTCGGCCCCTCCATGGGCCCGTGAGGTCCCTTGTCACTCTCACTTGCACTAACCCGGGGCTGTGCTGGACTTGGGACACTTACTGCGTGCCCTGGCTCGCAGCCTTCCAGGAGAGAAGGAAGAGGCAGAGATTTTCCTTAGGCAAAGGAATAACGAGCCCGAAAAATGCCTCTGGGTGGGATCAGCGCCAGCCTGGCAGTGCCAGCACTCCCTGAAGCTGAACCCTGGCAAGGCAGGGGTCTCCCCACATCCCACCAGGATCATGCCAGCTGCTCTGTGGGTGAAGGAAAACAAGGTAAAGCTGCTCCCAAATCCTTCTCTGGACTGATGCGCTGACGGTGAGTCTCGGAGGGGCTTTGCTGTGCCCCTTGCCACTCAGCTTTACCGACTGCTCCTGTTCCTGGGGCACAGCTTGCAACCGGGGGGTGGCACATGCCTGCGCACACACCTGTGTGAGTACTCAGCCCAGGTGTGGCTTTACCTGCACAGGGCTGTCACCATGTCCAAAAAAAAAAAAACCAGACTAAAAAGACGTTTTGTGCCTGGGGTTTCGTGTTCACACGAGTCGTTATTCCAGAAATTGCCTCTGGGCTCTGATTTCCCTATGGATGACCTCTAACCCAGCCTGTAAACTTGTATCATACACTAAAAGCGGGGGGGGGGGAAAAAAACACCCAGCAAAAAAAAAAAAAAAAAAAAAAAAAAAAAAAAAAAAAACAAAATGCAGCAAAAAAAAAAACCAACTGCTGTTGTGATTTTGGGTTTTGGTTTGGTTTTGTGGTTTTTTCCTTGGTTTTTTGGGGTGGGGAAAGCTGGTTGGGGGCTTGATTTCTTTATTTTTCCTTGTTTTCTCCTTTATTTTCCATGCAGGGGGTTCATTCCTCCCCCCCCTTGCTGCAGGTGGATGCAGCTGTCAGGGGGACTTTAAAATAAAAGAGAAGCTTGCCCCCCTCCCCACTTATACCCCCACATGGGGCTGTGTAAATGCTGTTAAATAATAGAGAAAAATTAAAGTTTCTACGAGTTTTAGAGGGAAGAAACAAAAAATTGCTTTGTAATCTTGGTTTTTAAGCACTTCAGTGCCTTTAGCTCGAATTCTGTTGGGGGGGGCAGGGCTCTGCACCTGGTTTTGGGGTGATTCTGCTCCAGTAAAGCTTCGGCACTGCGAGAGGCTCTCAGGAATCCTTTATTCTTGTAGTAATAATGAATTAAACTGTGAGAGGCTCTCAGGAATCCTTTATTCTTGTAGTAATAATGAATTAAACTGCGAGTGGTTTCATCCCTGCTGTGCCCTGTCTTTGCTTCCCTGGCCCCAGCTGTGGCCTGGGGGGGTTTGTCCCCACCCCATCCTAAAAGTATTGGTCCTGCCCCAAAACAGGTGTTGAAGGGGCTGTGTCCCCCCCCTCCTCCCTCCCTATGTCCCCCCCAGCCTCAGCCTGAG